CCCATTTTAAGGATTTTGGGATCCGTAATTGTGGGCGGAGCCTAGTCGTGTTTGGGCTCATTTTAAAGCTCAGAAACTGTCAAATTTGATTTTGGCTTGAAAAATGCAAACAAATGAGCCTAAACACGACTAGGTTCCGTCTCTTTAAAAATCTCCAATCTGCACGCGACGCACGACCGCGACGCGCCCAAAATTTCGAAATGAGCGGAGCCTAGTCGTGTTTGAGCTCATTTTAAAGCTCTTCTCAAGCCAACTACAAATTCAACGTTTTCCAAAGGAGAAATCTAATGATTTTCAGCCAATTCACGCTTCAAAAATGTCAAATCGAGTTGTTCGCAAAGAATCGAGAGATCGAGAAGCTTCAGGAGCGGATTCAAGAGTTGGAGAAAACTGAAAATGAGCAAAAATCGATAAAATCACTAGCTGAGGAGTTTGAAAAGCTGAAAATTGGAATGCTGGGAGACCAGGAGCCTTCAGAATCAGCTAGAATCGAAGAGCTCGAGGATCTTTTGGAAGAATCTGACGCGAAAATTCTGGATCTTCAGGAGGAGCTAGAAGACGTCAAGACGAAGATGTTCAAAGTAAAAACGGAAAATCATCACTTGAAGATTGAGGCGGACGAGCTGGGCGGCGAACTGGAATCTGAAATTTTCAGATTCTCTGAAAAATTAGAATTCGCCAATGGCAAAATTAAAATGATGGATTTGAAGATTCGGAATCTGAGGAAGGATTCAGATGAGAAGATCCAGAAGCTCAAACATTCAGAATTCAAGAAAGTTCAAGAAATTCTGAAGCTTCATCATCGCCTGCAAACTGAGGATTTCGGTTCAGACCACAAAGTTCAAGAATCGCTGAAACTTTTGGAGAATCAGAAGAATCTGGAAATCGCCGAGCTCAAAGATATGCTGAGCAATCAGGGAAAGAGGTTTCAGCTGGAAGTTGAGGAAAAGATGATTCTGGAGGCGGAGCTTCAGAAGCTTCAGACGACGTTGGAGGAGAAAAATGAATTGCGGAAGAAGTGGGCGGCGGAGCTTAGTTCGTCTTTTGAATCGACGCGAGCAGCATTGAAGGAGCAGCTCAAGACGGTCCCGATGTCATCAAATTTTCCAACACTTCAGAAGACGTTGGAGGAGAAAAAAGGGGCGGAGCCTAATTTGGATTTAAAGGCGCTTCAAGCGACGCTGATGGAGCAGATGAAGATGTATCTGGCACATTCGAAAAATGCTGGGGATAATTCTCTAAGTTCTTCGAAATGTTGAAAATCTTGAGAATCTGAAAATCGGACTTTTTTTTCAAAAATTTTCAAAAATTCATAAAAATAAGATTTTCTTTATTTTTCAGAACCTCTGTGTTTTTTGTCTGAAAATATTTAACTCTTTATCTGTATCACACACTCCTCCTTTTCATACTGTATTCCCCTTTTCCTACTGTATCCACCAAACGCTAATTTTTCAAACATTCGAAAAATTCGCATTGGAGCGTTTTTGCATTATTTTTCCCCCATTTTCTCATTTTTTAAAACTTAATCGTTTTTTCAAAAATCAATAAAATTCTGTGATAGACATCCAAATTTGATTCAAATTTAGTCTGAAAAATTTCAGCCAAATTTCAGATTTTCCGAAAAATTCAAAAAATATTTTCTTTTAAATTTTATTAAAATTCCAATTGGAAAAAAAGAAAAATAAAGTAATTAAAGGGAAGATTACTGTAGTCAATATTGGGTTATTAGGATTACTATGGTTTTTATAGGTTACTGTAGTAGGAGTGAGATACTTACATATGGCAGAACAGGTAAATGAGATCTTTTTAGTGGATTACTGTAGATCTTGAATGGGTTACTGTAATGGCTAGATGATACTGTAAGGAATTGCTATAGTTGAGATATGGTAACTGTAGAAAGGATTACTGTAATCAATATTGGGTTATTAGGATTACTGTAGCCTGGATTAGGCTACTGTAGCTTAAAGGGTTACTGTAGCCATATAAGGCGCATTGCAAAAGTTAATGTAAAGGGATTACTGTAGAAGGGATTATTGTAGTCAATATTGAACTACTGTAGCCTATAGGACTTCTGTAGTTCATAGGATTACTGTAGTTTCGAATCTCAATGCGAATCCTGACATCCACACATGCATTCCTTCGGTTTTCTGACTCGCTTTTCTCCTGGATTTTCGATTTTTTCGGTTTTCAGATTGCGATTTCCAGAATTCTGCTTTTCAGAAGTTTCAGGAACATTCTCCTTTTCAGCTTGGATTTTGTTGAATTTCTGGAAAATTGGACTTTAAAGGGACATGGGACTCAAAAACTTGATCAAAAATTTTGAAAATCAAATTCGCCGTTTTCTGACTTGTCGTGCGCTTCAAAATGAGCCCAAACACGACTAGACTCCGCCCACTTTGATTTTTCAGGCGCGTCGCGGTCGTGCGTCGCGTGTTTTCAGGAATTTTCAAAATGGGCGGAGCCACGTCGTGTTTGGGCTCATCTTGAAGCATTTAAGTAGCTAAATCCAAATTAGAAAGTTGCTGAGCTTCAAAATAAACCCAAACACGATTAGGCTCCGCCCATTTTGAAGGGAGCTGCGCCATTAAAATGGGCGGAGCCTAAATTCTGCGTTCGGGCTCATTTTTAGCGATTTCTCAGGATATTTCTGTCATTTGTCGATTTTTCTCTCACCTCCAATCTCATTGAAATTCTTCTTCGCCGCTCCATCACTGGCACCATATCAAACATTGCTTGTTCATTTGTCTGAAAAATTGTTTTTTGCAATTTTTTAGGTTTTAAGTTTATTTTCAAGGTTTGAAACTTTTGAATTCAAAATTATCAAGCCGTTTGCCTCAAAATGAGCTCAAACACGACTAGGCTCCGCCTACTTTAATTTTTTCGGACGCGTCGCGGTCGTGCGTCGCGTGCGTCTGAAATATGCAGATCCTAGTCGTGTTTGGGTTCATTGTGAAGCTCAGAATCTGGAAAATCTGAATTAAGCCTAAAAATGCAGAAAAATGAGCCCAAACACGCATAGGATCC